AGCCGTCAGCAGTCCATTTCCCAGCACGAGACGCGGGCTCAAACCCCGGACTCCCACGCCAGAGCTAAAAGACCCTGTTACAGTCTTTTCCACCCACCAATCGGCAGCTCTGCCCTCCCGCCAGCCGGTACCTTACCCGGCGCAAAGTCCGTCTTGCCGTAGAACCGGATGATGCCCTGCTTCTGCCCCGCCACCAGCACCTGGTCCCCGATCTCGATCTTCAGCCCTTCTCGGTCCAGGCTGCCCACGGAGGGAGACTTCTTCCTGAGGACTGAACAGAGAGGCAGTGAGACCAGCCCAGGGCTGCCCAGACCTCCAGCAGCAGCTGCCCCAGTGGTTAGCCTGGTGCCAGAGCGGTGATTGAAACCCTGCCCATCTCTAAGCCAATCCTGCCATCTCCCAGCCCTCAACTTTTCCTCTCTCCTCCAATGAGTGACTTGGAGGGAGCAGAGGGAGGAGCCCACAGCAGGAGGTGCCGGCAAGTTAAAGAAGTATGGCTTGGATGAATGGACTATATGGTGGATAGAAAGCTGGCTAGATCGTCAGGCTCAACGGGTAGTGATCAACGGCTCGATGTCTAGTTGGCAGCGGTATCAAGGGGAGTGCCCCAGGGGTCGGCACTGGGGCCAGTTTTGTTCAACATCTTTATTAATGATCTGGACGATGGGATGAATTGCACCCTCAGCAAGTTCGCAGATGACACTAAGGGTACGTCTACACTACGAGATTAATTCGAATTTAGATAATTCGAATTTGGGAAACAGATTGTATAAATTCGATTGTGCGCGGCCACACTAAGCACATTAATTCGGTTTTTAACCACATTAATTCGGTGGTGTGCGGCCACACTACCCCATTAATTTTAACCACATTAATTCGGTGGTGTGCGGCCACACTACCCCTAATTCGAATTAACAAAATCGATTTTGGTGCTACTCCGCTCGTCGGGGTGGAGTACAGAAATCGATTTTAAGTGCCCTTTAATTCGAAGTAACTGGCTCCGTTGTGTGGACGGGTTAAGGATTAATTCGGATTAACGCAGCTAAATCCGAATTAAAGTCGTAGTGTAGACCAGGCCTAAGCTGGGGGGAGAGGTAGGTACGCTGGAGGGTAGGGATAGGGTCCAGAGTGACTTAGACAAATTGGAGGATTGGGCCAAAAGAAATCTGATGAGGTTCAACAAGGACAAGTGCAGAGTCCTGCACTTAGGACGGAAGAATCCCATGCACTGCTACAGGGTGGGGACCGACTGGCTAAGCAGCAGTTCTGCAGAAAAGGTCCTGGGGATTACAGTGGACGAGAAGCTGGCTATGAGTCAGCAGTGTGCCCTCGTTGCCAAGAAGGCCAACGGCATATTGGGCTGTATTAGTAGGAGCATTGCCAGCAGATCGAGGGAAGTGATTATTCCCCTGTATTCGGCACTGGTGAGGCCACACCTGGAGTATTGTGTCCAGTTTTGGTCCCCCCACTACAGAAAGGATGTGGACAAATTGGAGAGAGTCCAGCGGAGGGCAAGGAAAATGATTAGGGGGCTGGGGCACATGACGTATGAGGATTGGCTGAGAGAACTGGGGTTATTTAGTCTGCAGAAGAGAAGAGTGAGGGGGGATTTGATAGCAGCCTTCAACTACCTGAAGGGGGGTTCCAAAGAGGATGGAGCTCGGCTGTTCTCAGTGGTGGCAGATGACAGAACAAGGAGTAATGGTCTCAAGTTGCAGTGGGGGAGGTCTAGGTTGGATATTAGGAAACACTATTTCACTAGGAGGGTGGTGAAGCACTGGAATGGGTTCCCTAGGGAGGTGGTGGAATCTCCTTCCTTAGAGGTTTTTAAGGCCCGGCTTGACAAAGCCCTGGCTGGGATGATTTAGTTGGGGTTGGTCCTGCTTTGAGCAGGGGGTTGGACTAGATACCTCCTGAGGTCCCTTCCAACCCTGATATTCTATGATTCTATGCCAAGCCCAGGTTGGCTGAGGGAGGGGGTGGAAAGGGGGCAGGGGGTGGAGAGGAGGAGACTGACTGGAATATGGGGGAGGAGTGAGGCACATGGGTGGGGAGAACTGGTGGGATTGGTTGGTGAGGAGGCTGGGCCTTTCTAATTTGCATATGTAAATAGCATGCAAATTTCCCCCTCCGCTCTTTACCGCACCAGAGCCGGCCAGCCTGCCGGGGCTTTGACCTCTCCCCCGCCAGACTCGGAGGGGCAGGCACGATCCGAGGACAGGGCCGGGGGGCGCCTGGTTTATCTCCTAGCAAAGAGCCCGGTGCGCAGTCCTGCCCCAGCCGCCCCTGATTAATCGGCTGCCATGTCAAGCCCCTGGATGAGATTTCAGATCCAAAGGCCAGGTCAGCTCTTTCCACCCACCCCCGGTGATAAAGGGTCTTCAGGGTTAATTAGCCAAGTACCTTTCCAGATGGGGACGAATGAGACATGGGAGGAAAGGGGCACACCCAAGGTCACGCCCGGAATCAGTGCCAGAGCTGGGAGTGGAAACCAGGAGTCCTGTCTCCCCGCACCGCTCCCCCCCACCCAGCTCTAACCACTAAACCCCACTTCTCCCAGAGCAGGGCATAGAAGTGAACCCAGGAGTCCTGGCTCCCAGCCCCCCCTGCTCTAACCACTAGACACCACTCCCTTCCCAGAGCTGGGGAGTCCTGGCTCCCAGCCCCTGCTGCTTCAGCCGCTAGAACTGCCCCGCTACCTTTCTTGTCCTTCCGGCCCTTCCCGGTCATGCGGGAGAAGTCCATGCGGGGGGTTTTTGGGGTGGACGTCACCGATGATGGCATCTGGTCTGTGGCTTTGGCGATTTTAGACACAGAGGCAAAAACCCCTAAGAAGATGGAGAAAAAAACCCAACAGTCAATGGTGGACTCAGAAAATGCTTAGCTGTAAAGCCCAGTATCCACTAAGCCATATTCCCTTCTGGAGAGAGGAGCAGAACCCAGGTGTCCGGGCTCCCAGTCCCACCCCATAGCCTCTAGACCCCACTCCCATCCTAGAGCTGGGAACAGAACCCAGGCGTCCGGGCTCTATTTACCTTGCTTCGGAGGGCAAATGAAGTAGCGTATTCCTCCAACGCTTCCGTCATTCTTGCCCTCTGGCTCGTCCAGCTCCACCCCAATCCACTGGCCACTTGCGAACTCCGTCGTGCCACAGAAACGCAGGGTGCCCAGCTACAGGGACGCAAACAGATCGTCAGAGCCAGACGCTGGGGCCGTTCTGAGTCCCCACCTTGCTCCCTGCACACAGCACCCCCTACTGCCATACTGGGGTCAGCGCAGGCACCGAGGGAAGAGCGCCCCCTACTGAGCCCCCACCCCACCCCCTGCAGCACAGCGCCCCCTAGCACCACACTGGGGTCAGCAAAGGCACCGAGGGGAGAGCGCCCCCTACTGAGTCCCCACTCTGCTGC